TTAAGATTACTATATTTTCTCCTCTACAATGAGCACATTAACCACATTCAAGTTTTAGGTTTCCTTTCCTTTCTCTATTCCTCTCATGCATGTTCTTTCCTTAGTGTTTCACCCATGTCCAATAATATCACTGCATTTGTTTTGGGTCTATAATCCGCATATGAGGGAGAATGTGATTTTTGGTCTTGTGAGCCTGGCTAACCTTGCTCAGAATGATGTTCTCCAGTTCCATCCATTTACTTGCAAATGACAAAATTTCATTCATTTTGTGGTGGAATAAAATTCTATTGTGTATAGATACCACATTTTCTTAATCCATTTGTCAGTAGTGGGGCATCTTGGCTGTTTCCATAACTTGGCTATTGTGAATAGTGCTGCAGTAAACATGGGTGTGCAGGTGCCTATGGAACAACCTGTATCACATTCCTTCAGGTATATCCCTAGGATCCCCACTCCTTTTTAATAGCTTTTGTTTTCTGAATATTTTCCATATTGTAGCAGATTTTCTATTTCTCCCTGATTCAGACTTAGCCATTTATTAGTTGTCAGTTTGATCAAATATATTATTTTGTAAGTAGCATGCTTATTATAATCTCTAATACATTTATAAAATAGAAGGAATAAATAATAAGTAGTTTTGTTCACACTTTGTTCCTCATAATCATAGATCAAACTAAATTTATTTACCCTAAATCCTATCCAGAATACGATGTCAATCATAGATGTATAGATAATGATCACTAGATTTTTTGCCATGAACACTACAGGACCTCAAATTGAATTGAGAGTCTATGAGTCAATGCTCTATCAAGGTTCATCCACTATTTGCAGTTCATGTACACTTCTAATATTTATGTAATCCTAACAAGTGACCCATATTGATATGGCACTAAATATTATTCTGATGCTCTTAAGTGGGAATAGATAAGTATAGTCTAATAGATTCAGCATATAATGAAAATGAATTGCAATCTATAATACAACAGGCTGAAAATTCAATAAAAGCTCAGATATTGACTGACTCTTCAAGTTAGTCATTAATAACAAATTGGGGACCTTCCCTAACCAATATTCTTTACTGATTTTTAAAAATAAACAACAAAATAGTGATAAAATTCATAAGGAACTGTCTTCTGACCACAAAGCAAGGCAATTAAATTATGGACAGGTTAATTTTGAGCACATGATCAATATGTATAGTGTAAAGAAAGATCAATAGGTATAGTACAAACAAATCAATACGAAGAAGTGAAAGATGTTAAATGTAAATTTTAACAGTGTCTTTAGCTTCATGAGCTGAAAACTGAAGCCAAAATGGACTGGTGAGTGGATAAGTTATTTATTTTATGAAATATGTAAATTGATAACCTTTGTAAGACCAAGTTTTGGTTCTTCATTATACCTTGACAAAAAGTTTTCTGAGCTTTTTAAAGAGCTGAGTTCAAATCATATTATCAGTCTTAGGTTTGCACATATTACTTAGCTTCACTGAGATTTATTTTCTTCATTTGAGAAGTGGAATTATGAAAATTTACAGAGTGGGATTATTAGGGTGTTAAATAATATGAAGGATGTAAGATGATCCTTTTATAGCTGTATCAGTTTGACTCATTTTATTCCTTTTTTCCCCATGGGGAAACTGGGATATAGCACAGCCCAGTTTTTCTGAAAATACAGTGTAAACTAAAATATTGTTTGCCTGCCATCTTCCTTTTTGGCCTTTTCTCATGATTATTTAGGTCTGGGAAAGTGTAGTTCTGGCCAACTCAAATCAGGTCCAAAAGGCTTACACCAGGATATGAAGAGGAATATCCATGCCTGCAAAGCAGGACAGATGTCATGGTGAAGGTTAGGATTAGTCGGTGCTGAAGGAGCAAAGATCATAGAACCAAACTGATAACAGCCTGGAGAAGTTTGAAATCCAGAGAGGCTTTTGTGTAAGTAAACTGGCTTTTCTGAAAGGACTAAATAAATATACTTGGTAACCCAAAGTCTTACTGGCCTGCAAGATGAGAGGTAGACTTTTACCCTCCTCCCAAACAGAATGCTTTACATATCTTTTTCAACTTACTACCTGTTTTCTACAGTATAAACTAAATATTTGAAGAATTGGAAAAAATTAATGGAAACAAATTACTACTAATGACAAGTAGGCAGTTGTTTGTGGTGTTACGGACGTGAGCCATTATGTATATCCCCTGTGTAATCTATTTGCATTTGTCTATGTTAATGTCTATTTCTACATAATTACATAATCATATATGTTAGAACAATGACAGATTCAAATACTCTGACAGTTACTCAACACCCACCTAAGCTTTCAGCATAAAGTCCATACTCATATGCTATTTCTTTTGGCTGGTATGTTTGTTTTCTTTCTTTCCTCCTTTTTTTCTACCAGAAAAACATATTTTTTCAAGAAGTAATTTAAGATCTGTTCCCACAATGAGCTCATCTTAATAATTTTCAAATATTTTGATATTTGGCATAGTATATGCTCAAAATATATTTGATGAAAAAGTAATTGCACAGTTAAATACAAAATGGTGAGGAATGACAGAAGAGAAAGTTTTGCAAACATACTTTATTTATTTAATCATATATCATTTGCTAAGCTAGAAAATAAAATGTCTAAGAGAGACAATGTCCTGGACATCATCTAATTATTTTTAAATTTGCAACTTGATGAACTTCACAAAATTCTTAGATAAGTTTCCAGTAAGCCTTATATACATAGAAAAAATAAAAAAGATAATAGATAACTTCTATTTGGTTCTTCACCTTTTACGAAATTCTCCACATTTTCTCATGAAATAACCGTTTTATGAATGACTAATATTTCTCTGACCAATGATCATGTAAGCTAACCTCAGATCACATTGGTAGAATGTCTTATTGTGTGTGGGGTCAGACAGCACAGAGATGAAAGACTAGGGGTGTGTGGAAAGTGATAGATTCTTCAGAAATAATGAATGAAATAGTGACAGCAATCAAATACAAAAGTAAACACTGAACTGACAAACCAGGAAAAGTTGGAAAGTTTAAGTAGTTATTAGCTGGACAAAAGCACAAGTTTGGAGGACCAGGAGTGGGTGCTTCATTAGAGAGCAAAATGGGCAGAATTTCAGAGACTCGTGAGTAGGGGAAGGAAGGAAAGAGAGAAGATCACTTGGGTGCAGCTGTGTGGGAATAATTGAGACTGGAATTGAAGTGTTGACTGGTGTTTTAAAAATTTTTGAGAGTGATTACAATAAGGATTCAAATTATTTGAAAGGTTTTTAGTTGCTCTACTTTTATTTGTTGTTTTTCTGATTTAAAAGATAGTTTTAACAGTCAAAAACAAATGCATATGAGTCTGATCGAGTATTATAATCCTTCCTGGTTTACTTCTTCCTTTTTTTTTCTTTTCTTCTTCCTTTCAGTGCAATTCTGAGGTCAACTGGGACCAAAAATGAGCACTAGGTTTCTGTAGGTTTCATATGACATTGTGGACACTATCAATGTAGTGATTAAGAGGACAGATTCTGCAGCAGATTGGTTGGACTCAAGTCACAGCTCTGCTACTTGCTAGCTATAACCTTATAAAGCTATTTAACATGTCTATGCTTCCTTAGTAAAATAGAGGCAAAGTAGCATGAAGCTCACCTGGATGTTATGTGGAGTAAATTAGTCCATGACGATATAGTGTGTTAGACCAGTGTTATACAGAATTGTGTCTAGCACATTACAGACATGTGTCATTGTTAGGAATGATTATTATGCTATATGCAGATGGTGCAGGAGAATACTTTGGAGGCCAATATTTATACCATTTATTTATTCATTTCAAATATATATTGAGTGCCTCAGCATGTGCCAACTTTTGAGGACAAGGCAGAAAGCTTTTATGTAGTAAAAATTGTAAGGGTTTTGGTAAAATATTAGGGCATAAGATTTAATCAGAGAAGACTTTTTTTCAGAAGGTGAACTAATAGAGACCTGCTTGGCATATGTATAAAGCTGAGAGCTAGTGGTTAGAAGATTCCTTATAAAAACTGAGCCAAGTTATCTGTAATTACAAATGTTCTTTCTCTAAGAAGTTTGTTAACTGAAGAATGGTCTTTGAAGAGTGACTTTCCCATACTATTGTTGAAAAATGTCTATAAAATGCAGATAACTAGACATGTATGAGGCAAAATTGGCATTAGGTTACAGGAGGTGAAGAACTCCAATTTGGGTTCTTAGGTGAAATGAAAGATCTGCCTTGCCCTCACTGAGATAGACCTGAGAGTATATTTTTATTATAACTAAGAAATATTTTTGGCATATGATTATTGACTACTATCATGACTTGTTTATGGCAAGATTTTGTTGTATAACACAGTTGTGTAACATAGAAAGCAGTAAATACTGGTTTCTCCAAAACTTTCATGATTTTCTGTTTTCTCCAGTCCAGATATAAAGGAACTGCAACGCTATTTACATTAAATGATAATTGGGACATAAAATGACCATGAAGCTTATAAGTGCATAGTTGTACAGGAACTTTACATGTGATTATAGTTTAATACTGGATACAAAAAAGCTGCATTGGAAGACAGATTATTCAGTTTCAGTAAAAATTTTTATCAACATGAGGAGATTATATAAAAATTTTGCTTGACACTTAGGAGGATTAGGCAGTAGGAGCCTGAGTTCAAGGCCAACCTGGGCTACATCACAAGACTAAATATCAGAAAAACAAACCAAAACAAAAAAGTGTATTCAAGACAAGACCTGTTTTCTAATTAAATATTAGAGGTTAAAAATTAAGAAGACAGCCTTAGATTCCATATTTAAGACCTAGAAAGAAAATGTTCTTTTGATAATATAGCATTTATGCTGCACACTGCATGAAGTCAGGTATTTGATTATCATTATTTCACTTAACTCTGAAAAATATCCTGCCTTAATTGCATTTTAAAATAGGCAAAATCATAAAATTGATTCTGGCCCCCATACATTTTGTCCTTCTTTTCCAGGTTTATTCCCTGCTGTCCTGAATCTTGCTTCCAATGCACTCATCATGACCAATGCAACATGTGGAGAAAGGGGACCTGAAATGTACTGCAAGTTGGTAGAGCATGTCCCTGGGCAGCCTGTGAGGAACCCCCAATGTCGAATATGCAATCAAAACAGCAGCAATCCATACCGTATGTATTATGTATGTGTTTGTTTGGCTCTGGATGAGATTTGGAATTGAGAGATTTTTGAGACCAAGTTGAATTAAATTCAATGGTGTTGTGATCCTCAGAATTCCTAAAATATTCTTTCACTGTAAGCCTCTTTATGGTCCTTCTTTGTCATTCAACAAACATCACAGTATGTACAGCCCCTTATATGTACCAGGTGCAATGATTGGAGGGGATCCTCTAATTGAAGCCCTGTGGTAATTATTAGGTTTACTGCCTTCAGAATGGTATCTGAGAATGTGGTTATTCACTGGGGGTTTGGTGTTCATTGGTTTCTTCTGTGCCAGACACTGTGCTTCAGAATAAAGTAGGATCCTAGCTCTCAACAAGTGAGCCAATGGGCTAGAAGCTGGCTATTGCTATATCATGGGATAAGTTCAAAGGAAAGAATGGGCACAGAGTCCTGAAGAAGGGACTGGAAGGTCCTAAATTCAGTCTTGGAGCAAGTGAAGGCTTGCCTGATAAAGTAGTGATCAAGCTAGTAACAAAGAACACGTATTACCTGAGCCAATGAAGAGGTGAGAGAAGGGAAGAGAAGAAGAAAGGTCAAGGAGAGAGATCAGAATAACAAAGAAAACATTCCTTGCTCAAGGAATTTCAAGCAGTTAAGAATGACCAGAACTGAAAGTGTTGGAGGGCATTGCAGAGGTGAGTCTAATGTACATGGCTGGAAAAAAGATGATGAAGCTTCTTAGGAACTACTAGAGGAGTGGTTTAAGGAGAAGTACCATGAAAAGTCCTCATTTTGACCTTGATGAACCGCATTGATATCTCAGACCCATTCATCTGTTTATTCAAAAACACTTAAACTTACACTACTATTGATACATGGCACTAAATCATATATATTAAATCATATGTAGTCTTTGACATGGAGGACTTATTGAGGCTAGGGGAAAGAGTAAAGTAAATCAGACACTAAGAGAACATGCCAATATCAGCTAAGGATTCCTAGGAAAAAGTGACCAATATATTTAAAAACTACAAGTTAGTAAGACTAAGTGAGAAAAGCATTATAAAGAAAAATAATACATAAATCTTAAAGGTTTAAAACCTCTTAACATATCGAGAGAACTATAATTTGGATTAGCAAGAAAATAACTTTTATGGTAAAGGAAAGAATGGTATGAGATAATTTTAGAGATATATCTTAGAAAATCACTATGTCTACATGTATATTGATTATATATCTAGAGAAGAGATTAGTAAAGTGAATATTTAATGCAAATTGAGGTAATGGTTATGATAACTTCAAATTATATAATTTTTAAATATGATTTTCATTCTAATTTACACTACTTTTTTAGAGCTGTTTTAGGCTCATGATTTCTCATATATCTTTGCCACAACACATGCATGTCCTCTCCAATTATCAATATCCCTATCTAGATTAGCAATTTATTCCAACTGATGAAACATTATCACACAAAGTTCACGGTTTACATTAGGACTTAATCTTTGTGGTGTACATCCTTTGGGTTTGGATAAATATATAATGACATGTGTCCATCATTGGACTATCATAGAGAGTAGCTTAGTTGCTCTTTTTCTTAATGTAAAACTTACAAAAATAAGGCAGCTTTCTCTTACAATTTGCATTTTTTTAATTCAAAATGAAAATTGGAGGGCATTGTACATTTTTTTCTTAGAGCTATTTAAAGAGAAAAATGCATAGTTACCTCTATTATATTTAATTTAGGGCTACAGAAATCACAAGTGATTAGAGATAATATAGGTGAATATATGATCACCTTTGTAATTAAAATTGGTGTTCTGTATATCACAGGAATTATAAAAAAATAAGACACCAAAGGGAAACCATCACAAATCTTTCTTGTCCATTATTGATTTTGATTTATTTTTAAAGTGTGTATTATGGTTTGGGTGCAGAAGTGGTGAGTGAGGGTACATGTCCCATGTTTTGCTTTTTCTTGTTGGAAATGATCAGAGCAAAGGACTATGTCAAAGCCCTAGGGAAACATTAAAAGTTAAGGGAAATTATTGAATCCAGGGAGGCAACGAAGACAAAGATTTTAAGGGAGAAAAGTAAGGAGAATGTAGCATCATGTACAAGAGGTAGGAAGAAGAGAGGAATATAAGAATATTTTCTCAAGTGTCCTAGATATGAAAGAGATTAGAAGATTTCGACAAAAGGATGTGGTGTTGGGAAGCTTTTCATAAACAGGAGTCATTTGAATAGATTTAGAAGCTAAGGAGGAAAGACAGGGAAGTCAAAGATACAGTGGTAGTAGGGTATGCCTCTTCAGAAATTAAAAGCAGGTGGATACTTTAGTATAAGTAAAAAGAAGCCAAAAACCTGAACCTTAGATATACATACCTTTCAACTGACCAAATCAAAAAGAAGGAAGATTGAGAAGTGGCCAACAGAAGACAGTATTTGAGAGGAAACTTTTTAAAAAATTTTATTTATTTATTTTTTAATTTTGTGCATACAATGTTTGGGTCATTTCTCCCCCCTTCCCCTTTCCCCCTGCCCCCTCCCCTCCCCTCCACACCCTCGCTACTAGGCAGAAACTATTTTGCCCTTATCTCTAATTTTGTTGAGGAGAGAGTATAAACAATAATAGGCAAGACCAAGGGTTTTTGCTAGTTGAGATAAGGATAGCTATACAGGGAGTTTACTCGTGTTGCTTTCCTGTACATATGTGTTATATTCTAAATTAATTCTTCTTGAACTAACCTTTTCTCTAGTTTCTGCTCCCCTTCTCTTATTGTCCTCTGTCACTTTAAAGTTTCTGCATTAGTTCCTTTCCATTGAGGGCATCAAATGCTATCTTGTTTTTTCTTGTGTTTCTTGCCTATCCTCATACCTCCCTTGTGTGCTCTCACCTCATCATGTGATCAAAGTCCAATCCCCTTGTTGTGTTTGCCCTTGATCTAAAGTCCACAAATGAGGGAGAACATACGATTTTTGGTCTTCTGGGCCCGGCTAACCTCACTCAGAATGATGTTCTCCAGTACTATGTTGAATAGGGGTGGAGATAGTGTGCATCCTTGTCTCGTTCCTGATTTTAGAGGGAATGGTTTCAGTATAATGCTGGCTGTAGGTTTGTCATATATAGCTTTTATAATGTTGAGGTACTTTCCTTCTATTCTTAGTTTTCTTAGAGCTTTTATCATGAAATGGTGTTGGGATTTTATCAAAGGCTTTTTCTGCATCTATTGAGATGATTGAGTGGTTTTTGTCTTTGCTTCTGTTAATGTGGTTTATTATGTTTATTGTGTAGAAGTTGGATGAAATGTTCTGTAGACATCAACTAGGTCCATTTGCTCTATGGTATGTTTTAGATTGAGGATTTCTTTATTGACTTTTTGTTTGGATGACCTATCTACTGATGTTAGTGGGGTGTTAAAGTCTCCCACTACCACTGTGTTGGAGTTAATATTTGCTTTTAGGTCCTTCAGGGTATGTTTGTTGAAATTGGGTGCATTGACATTGGGTGCATATAGGTTGATAATTGTTATTTCCTTTTGGTCTATTTCCCCTTTTATTAGTATGGAATGTCCTTCTTTATCTTGTTTGATCAATGTAGGTTTGAAGTCTACTTTGTCTGATATAAGTGTTGCTACTCCTGCCTGTTTTTGGAGGCCATTGGCTTGGTAAATCTTCTTCCAGCCTTTCGTCCTAAGCCTATGCTTATTTCTATCAATGAGATGGGTCTCTTGTAAGCAACAAATTGTTGGATCTTCCTTTTTAATCCAGTTTGTCAAACGGTGCCTTTTGATGGGTGAATTAAGTCCATTAACATTAATTGTTAGTACTGATAGGTATGTGGTGATTCCTGTCATTTAGTTGTCTTAGTTGTTTGAAGGTTTGATTGTGTGTACCTAAGCTGAGGTTACTCTCTACTGTCTTGCTTTTTCTTTTCCTGTAGTTTGGTGCTGCCTGCCCTTTCATGGTTATGTTGGGTTTCACTTTCTGTGTGCAAAATCCCTTGGAGAATCTTTTGTAGTGGTGGCTTTGTGGTCACATATTGTTTTAGTTTCTGCTTATCATGGAAGTCTTTTATTGCTCCATCTATTTTGAATGATAGTTTTGCTGGGTAGAGTATCCTGGGGTTAAAATTATTTTCATTCAGTGGCTGGAAGACCTCACCCCAAACTCTTCTTGCTTTTAATGTTTCTGTTGAAAATTTTGCTGTGATTTTGATGGTTTTACCTTTGTATGTTATTTGTTTTTTCTCTCTGACATCCTTCAATATTCTTTCTCTATACTCTGTGCTTGTTGTTTCAATGATAATATATCATGGGGTAGTTCTATTTTGGTCAAGTCTGTTTGGTGTTCTGGAGTCTTCCTGTACCTGTATGGGCATAGTTTTCTCTAGATTTGGGAAATTTTCTGTTATTATTTTGTTGAATATATTACTCATTCCTTTTGCTTACACTTCTTCTCCTTCTTCAATGCCCATAATTCTCAGGTTTGGTCTTTTGATGGAGTCAGTAAGTCTTGCATTTTCTTTTTACAGGTCTTGAATTGTTTAACTAATAGTTTTTCCATTTTTCCTTTAATTACCATTTCATCTTTGAGTTCTGAGATTCTGTCTTCTGCTTGTTCTAGTCACTGGATTGGCCTTCCATTTTGTTTTGCATTTCTGTTTTGTTCTTTTTTCTGAGGTTTTCCATATCCTGAGTCTCTTCCCTTTTAATTTTGTCTATTTTTGTCCTGAGTTCATTTATCTCTTTATTTATTATTTTCTTTGTTTCACATTGGTGTTTATACAGTGCTTCTATAGTTCCTTTTATTTGTTCTTGTGCTTTCTCAAATTCTCTATTTTTGTTGTCTTAGAATTTCTTGAGTGTCTCCTGTACATTTTGGTTGACCATATCCAATATCATCTCTATAAAATTCTTATTGATTACTTGTGGGATTTCTTCTTTCAGAATGTTCTTGTGAGCTTCATTGGGTTCTTTGGCATAGTTTATCTTCGTTTTGTTAGAGG